AATTATTCAGTTTTATAGCTTACCTCATTTTTGCTACTTATAACAAGTTTCTGCTGTCTATCCCTTGCGGCTAGACAACATACAGTAACCATTTTTCTTTACTAAATATTTTTCTCCTCTTCCTTTCTATACATGGCACATGGTGGTAAGATTCCATTTGTTGTAGAATCAAAAGTTCTCATTCTGTTCCAGCTTTTTATTTCTGTTTTCTTGAATCACATTCTGTTGCTGCCATGAATTCTTTATCTGAGAATCACTTTTCATTTTTTCTTTCTTTCTTACAGTTTGTGAAGCACTTGACTGTTAGTGCCCTCTGCAGTAGTGACCAGTATGTTTGGGGCTTAGGCAACAACCAAGTGGCTTACATATTTAGGTCAGTGTTCTTTAATTCTTTTTATTCCTTATTTAACTCTTTCATGGACAGATATTTTCCAATTTTTGTTTCACTTGCACCAAGCCATTTATCATTACTGATTATTATCAGGAGACATTTTTAGGCAGACAAAATTTCGTTCCACAGAAGGATGATGAGAATATGGACTCAATACGGAAAGAAAAAGGACACTTATAATTTGCATTAGAAAGTGAAAATTCTAGGTTGCATAATGAGGAAGAAGGGCTTTGTGAATTTAACACTCACATGACATATTGAAAGCATGAGGACAGAGGAGGACAGTACATAACCTGCCTAACAAGTCAGTGTAAATGGTTGGCAGAAAAAGGTTTAAGAGAGATAGAAAAAAGACAAAATTTATTAAGAGCGACAAAGGATAGGAAATTGACAAAAGTCATGTTTGCCAATGAGCTGAAGGGACATGGCACATAGAAGATAGATTGTACCATCTTATTATTACTTGTCTAGAATGTGTGACCCCCATTATTTGAAGACATTTGTTTTATATTTGATGAAAATGTTTTTCATTTTTATTTTATAAAAGAACACTTGGCACTTTATGGGGAGATGCAATATCAAAAGTCAAAAAGCTGTTTTACAAAAGATCTTTTATATTTTCAATGATAAAAAAAATACTGTATTTATTCATATCCAATGTAAGAAATTTTTGTATCAAGATATTTGTGTTGTCTTGATTTTTCAGATCATATTTTGGTAATCTTGTTTAATTGTATCAACAAAGGAACTACAATTCCACACAAATGACCAGAAGATACTAAAACCCCTTATAATTCTTTTTAATTGAACGAATATATTCAAGTTCTCATGTTTATACCAGTTTCTAAAATTGTTTTAATGAAGAAAATATACATTCAGAAAACTGATTTTTTTACATTTTTTTTCTTCATAGCAAAATAGAAATTGTGCTTTGTTCAAAAGAATTTATTCATGCTTTTTGAATATGAAAAAACAGTGTTGAAATATGTTCAATGACAGTACTTATGGGTTGATACTTTTTGTTTTTTCTTTGGTTCAACTACTGTCATGAAAATGAAGTTGAGGATTGAAGAGAGATTTTTTTTCGCTTAGTGAAAGCAAAAAAAGTGTTCTACCTGATTTTGGTTGTGTAATGTATTTTTTCTTGATACATCAGGTAATTCTTGCACATCCTCTTAGAAGTACACAGTGTCTGATGTTAGCTATTACATCAGACAGTTCAAATAAATTTTTAAATTTAACTTTTTTTTTTTTCTCTCTTTTGGTGGTGGAGTTATTATTATTACCATCATCACCACCACTACTACTACTACTACTACTACTAAAAAAAAAAAAAAAAAAAAAGATTCTCAATTTTTTTCACCTCCAGGGAAAGCAGTTAGAAAATACCATTTTTTTTTCTTGTTTATTTTAATAATCATAATGACAAAATCTTATACTCATGTGTCTAATATTGAAATTCTTTCAGACACTGATGACTGCCAAAATAAATACTAAAAAGTGACCATTATTTCTGTTGTATAGTTTAACTTTATTTAAATCTAATTCTAATTTGTACTATAATTATGAGACTGAGTAATTAATTTTTCTTTAGAGCAATGCAATACATTATTTCACAAATTACTCAGACTAGTGTCTTCATTTTGTTTGGTTGTTAGATGTATTGGCACCGCCATGTGCATAAACTTATGCTCAAGGAGGCTGTGGAATATATAATCTCAAATGTGATAAGGATAATAATTTGATAATGAAAATCTTTCATCTAAGTCTATTAAACAAAGTTTATTAATGTCATGTAATTTTAATTATTATTGAAAAAATGAGATGAGAAATTAGTCTGGTCTCATCTGTTCTCATGAAATTGTAATTCCATATTATTATCACAAAGTAGAAATATTTTAATCAAGTTTTCCTGCAAAATGTTAACATTTAATCTGTAAAGTGTTTTAACAAAGGATTGAAAATTTGATATTGAAATCTGAAGGTACATGGGAATAGTGAAAGATGCCTTCCAAAAGCTAATCAAAGTATTAAGAAACAGGAAAATCTCATTAGAAACAAAGAAAATAGTACTTAACAGTAATGTATTACGGTCCACCTATATGGTAGTAAATGCAGGACAATCTCTTCTCAGACAAAGCAGACTTTCCTTAGACATACATGATCTCATCTACAGGAGTGAGTCCAATTTTTGGATTTTGAAGATAGCTAAAAGAATCTCTAATCCAAATAACAGTTGCAATAATAAAGCACCATTTAAAACCTTGGATAATGACCCTTTGTGACATAATGGAAGATAGAAATGTGGTTCTGCAGAAGAATGCTGAGAATATTGTGGACTGAACATGTGAGCAGTCTTAGAGAAAATAGAGACAAGAAGGACACTTAAGAGACAGTTGAAATTTCTAGGATGCTTAATGAGGGAAGAGGGATAAAGGTTATCAGCACATCACCTACCTAATGAGCTTGAGTAAATGATTGGCAGAACAGGTATTAGGAAAGGTAGGGAAATACTAAATTTACTAAGACCTACAAAGGACAGGAAATTGGGGAGAACCATGTTCACAGCCCATAGAAGACATATTTATTCAAAGTTATTGAACTTTTTATCATAAAAAGGACTGAAGAATACTACTAATATTATATAAAGCTGACAATTACTGCATTATTAATACATTTACATGAATAACAAGTTCACCAGAGTTTCAAAATTTTAAATCTACAGCCAATAAACAAAAAAAAAAAATAATCTATTTTGTTATTCTCTTTGTGGGTGTATAACCATAGCACAACAAAACTAGCACTTTGTAGAGATTTTTCTTGGGGCAATACTACTAAAATGTTCTAATTTTGAGAAGAAAGCAATTTCCAGATCAATTTGCAATTTAATAAGTGTGTGTGTGGAATCATTTTATTTATTCTCAGCCTTGTAATAATATAATTTTTGTGTTTGTTACAAATGTTGAAGAGAAAATCATATTTACACAGAAAGAAGAAAAAAAATTAATAATTGCTGTATGAAATAATAATACCTTTATTTTGTTAAGAAATATTTCTTTACATATTTCTTTTCTAGAAAGTCTGTCTACAAAATAAAACATTATTTTGCACAGAAATTATTTTTTCGTGTCATCTTCTTTCTTTTTAACCCCTTATAAAAATTTCCATACATTATTACAAAACAGTATTTTTTTTTTTTTTAAATTGGAAGCATATGTTGAAAAAAAACATTTAACATTAGATTTCTGTTGATCAGGGATGAGGAGAAGTACAAGTAAAGATAACTTTAAATTCTAAATATAGTTGGAGTTTGGTTAATTTTAGTAGCTTTTTGTTTGTTTACTTATTTGTAAATAATGTTAATGTAAATTTTAGATATAGGAAATGAATTGATATTGAGCTTAATGGCCACCTTTTAAGAGAGTTGCCAGTACATAAATTAACTGGTCTGCTCATAAAGAAAAATAAAATTGGGGAAAAACAATTCTGAACAGTTTTTGTAAATTAGCATTTATTAGACATTTCTCTACCCATGACATTTGGCAGAATAAAAACATACCGATTTTTGTTCATAATATAAATACAGTGTCAAATCAATTCCGGACTTACTAAAGTATTATCTTTTACTTTGTTTTTATTTGCAAATTTTGAGTTTGAAACTGTGCATACATTGAGAACTTTGTACTATTGTGAAGAAGGGCAACATCAGTTGTATGTAATTATCAATGATGATGTTTCAAACTTGACATTTGTAAATAAAAACAAAGTACAGATAGCTACAAGAAATAAAGTACCAATTTGACACTATTTATATTATGAAGAGGACCCCTTACTCTCCCAAAATAATAGAAATCCAATTTTTTTCAATTCTGACAATGAGTAGTGGAAGGTCTAATAAATGCTAATCTACAAAATTTATTGCAAACACAGACTTATTGTAACTGTGATCGTTGTGATGGTCACAATTACAATAAGTTTGTCTTTGCAATACACCACTGAGGATGATTTGGAGGAGATTGAAAGTACTTGGGTAAGAAAAAAACTATGGTGACTTCTTTGATGAATTCCAACTTAACATCAAGAAACCAATTAGAGAACTAGAAAGGATTATTATAAAAATAGACATCTGTCTATATCCTTCAATGCTGCCTAAATATGTGTGTGTATATATATTATATATATATATAAAATATATTATATATATATATATATATATATATATATATATATATATATATATATATATATATATATATATATATATATATATATATATATAATGAGAGTTGATAAACATCTGCCAGTCATATTTTTTGTGATAGAATACTGAAACAGTTGTCCACATCCTCTGTAATAAGAAAACTTGATTTCCTGTAATTTCTCATCTTTTTCTCTCTTACCAAGTGCATGACCATCAATAAATTCAAAGCTGAATCAGTAAATTAGGTTTTGTTTTGGTTGATATTTTACTTGGTTGGTTGTTTCTTGTTTTTATGTTTGGGCCAATGCCAAGGTGGTCAGAAAACTGTTAATAGAAAATGAGGAAAAATGATTTGATTTATGACTTATGTGTTATGACTGACTTAACTGGCATGATATCTACAACACATATTTTGTCTCACCGTGCACTTTTGTGCCAAGACGCAAGTCAATTTGCAGTGGAAAATTGTTAACCTGTTTGTTGTAAGTCTTTTGCAAAAATGTTGGAACTAATGCAGCCATATTTTCTATTTTTATGTAAAAAGGATAATCCACTGTTTTATATATGTCTTTTTTTTTTTATTTGTACCATATTTTTTGTTTTTAATCATTTCACCCAAAGCAAGGCAATAAAACCACTAAAATGCAAGGGTTATTGTGTGTGAAAAATATGAGAAAAGAAAACATTAAGGATAGAGAGAGCAATAAAAGAACAGGAACTAAGATAATGGTTGACATTGCATTTAAATTTTTGAAGTCCAAAGTTGACTGGAAAAGCAATA